TAACCTAGCATTCTCCCTTACCAGTAATAGTAAATCCCTGTCACTCAAGCTACTAGACTCACAGTGATAGTCATTCAATGAAATGATCATCGTAGGAAATGTAGCCTACAAAACCGGTTAAGAAAACACAACAAATACCGAAACAAAATAACAGGGTGCTGTTGGAGGGCACTTGGGAGTTTGTTTAGCCCAGATAAGATGCTTCCATATACACAATATTTGCCCGACCCAAAAGCACTAATAATCCATTTTTTTTTCACATGTTCAGGACTAACTTATGTCTGACCAGCTGTTGCATAAGGGCTGGCTAAGCATCATAGGCAACACTGCATGCAAGAATTTTTCCACAAGAAGGGAATCCAGGAAACCTAGTACATTGGGTATTCAATCTAACACAATAGCTGGTTAAGCAGCAGTTGCCAAAAGCTGTTCAAATCAAGATTATTTATCAGAATCCAGAGTGGCAGATCCACCAAGAGCTGAGGATCTAACGTTTGGTCACCCCTGGGTTAAGTATAATGAAATGTAGTGCAGGCTAGCAGTCAGAAGACAAGCCAGACAAATATAATGTGCAGGGCCGCTGGGTTGCCAGATGTTAGCCAACCCCTGGCTTAGAAAAGTTATATTGAGGGCAAATGAGATGCAGAGGTTAGTCTACACAGGACTATAGTAGTGATGTAGTATAAGTGAGCTGGGATGACAGAGGTCAGTGAGTACTGGCATACAGGAGAGATGTAGTACCAGAGAGTTGGGGTGCCAGAGGTTAGTCAGCACTGGCTTATAGGAGAGATGTAGTGCCAGACAGCTGGGGTGACAGTTCAGTCAGTACTGGCCTATAGGAGAGATGTAGTAGCAGAGTTGGGGTGCCAGAGATCAGTCAGTATTGGTCTATATGACATGTAACAGAGAGATGGGGTGCCAGAGGTCAGTCAGTATTGGTCTATATGACATGTAATAGAGAGATAGGGTGCCAGAGGTCAGTCAGTATTGGTCTATATTAGCTGTAGTAGCAGAGAGATGGGGTGCCAGAGGTCAGTCAGTATTGGTCTATATTAGCTGTAGTATCAGACAGTTGGGGTGCCAGAGGTCAGTCAGTCAGTATTGTTCTATATTAGCAGACTGTAGAATCAGACAGTTGGGGTGCCAGAGGTCAGTCAGTCAGTATTGTTCTATATTAGCAGACTGTAGTATCAGACAGTTTGGGTGCCAGATGTCAGTCAGTATTGTTCTGTATTGGCAGACTGTAGTATCAGACAGTTGGGGTGCCAGATGTCAGTCAGTCAGTATTGTTCTGTATTGGCAGACTGTAGTATCAGACAGTTGGGGTGCCAGAGGTCAGTCAGTATTGTTCTGTATCGGCAGACTGTAGTATCAGACAGTTGGGGTGCCAGAGGTCAGTCAGTCAGTATTGTTCTGTATCGGCAGACTGTAGTATCAGACAGTTGGGGTGCCAGAGGTCAGTCAGTCAGTCAGTATTGTCAGACTGTAGTATCAGAGAGATGGGGTGCCAGAGGTCAGTCAGTCAGTATTGTTCTGTATCGGCAGACTGTAGTATCAGACAGTTGGGGTGCCAGATGTCAGTCAGTCAGTATTGTTCTGTATTGGCAGACTGTAGTATCAGAGAGATGGGGTGCCAGATGTCAGTCAGTATTGTTCTGTATTGGCAGACTGTAGTATCAGAGAGATGGGGTGCCAGAGGTCAGTCAGTCAGTATTGTTCTGTATTGGCAGACTGTAGTATCAGACAGTTGGGGTGCCAGATGTCAGTCAGTCAGTATTATTCTGTATTAGCAGACTGTAGTATCAGACAGTTGGGGTGCCAGATGTCAGTCAGTCAGTATTATTCTGTATTGGCAGACTGTAGTATCAGACAGTTGGGGTGCCAGATGTCAGTCAGTCAGTATTATTCTGTATTAGCAGACTGTAGTATCAGACAGTTGGGGTGCCAGATGTCAGTCAGTCAGTATTATTCTGTATTGGCAGACTGTAGTATCAGACAGTTGGGGTGCCAGAGGTCAGTCAGTCAGTCTTGTCAGACTGTAGTATCAGAGAGATGGGGTGCCAGAGGTCAGTCAGTCAGTATTGTTCTGTATCGGCAGACTGTAGTATCAGACAGTTGGGGTGCCAGATGTCAGTCAGTCAGTATTGTTCTGTATTGGCAGACTGTAGTATCAGAGAGATGGGGTGCCAGATGTCAGTCAGTATTGTTCTGTATTGGCAGACTGTAGTATCAGACAGTTGGGGTGCCAGATGTCAGTCAGTCAGTATTATTCTGTATTAGCAGACTGTAGTATCAGACAGTTGGGGTGCCAGATGTCAGTCAGTCAGTATTATTCTGTATTGGCAGACTGTAGTATCAGACAGTTGGGGTGCCAGATGTCAGTCAGTCAGTCTTATTCTGTATTGTCAGACTGTAGTATCAGACAGTTGGGGTGCCCGATGTCAGTCAGTCAGTCAGTATTATTCTGTATTAGCAGACTGTAGTATCAGACAGTTGGGGTGCCAGTCAGTCAGTCAGTATTGTTCTGTATTGGCAGACTGTAGTATCAGACAGTTGGGGTGCCAGATGTCAGTCAGTATTGTTCTGTATTGGCAGACTGTAGTATCAGACAGTTGGGGTGCCAGATGTCAGTCAGTCAGTATTATTCTGTATTAGCAGACTGTAGTATCAGACAGTTGGGGTGCCAGATGTCAGTCAGTATTGTTCTGTATTGGCAGACTGTGGTATCAGCATCAGACAGTTGGGGTGTCAGAGGTCAGTCAGTATTATTCTGTATTGGCAGACTGTAGTATCAGACAGTTGGGGTGCCAGTTGTCAGTCAGTCAGTATTATTCTGTATTGGCAGACTGTAGTATCAGACAGTTGGGGTGTCAGAGGTCAGTCAGTATTATTCTGTATTGGCAGACTGTAGTATCAGACAGTTGGGGTGTCAGAGGTCAGTCAGTCAGTATTATTCTGTATTGGCAGACTGTAGTATCAGACAGTTGGGGTGCCAGTTGTCAGTCAGTCAGTATTATTCTGTATTGGCAGACTGTAGTATCAGACAGTTGGGGTGTCAGAGGTCAGTCAGTCAGTATTATTCTGTATTGGCAGACTGTAGTATCAGACAGTTGGGGTGCCAGATGTCAGTCAGTCAGTATTGTTCTGTATTGGCAGACTGTAGTATCAGACAGTTGGGGTGCCAGAGGTCAGTCAGTCAGTCAGTATTATTCTGTATTAGCAGACTGTAGTATCAGACAGTTGGGGTGCCAGATGTCAGTCAGTCAGTATTGTTCTGTATTGGCAGACTGTAGTATCAGACAGTTGGGGTGTCAGAGGTCAGTCAGTATTATTCTGTATTGGCAGACTGTAGTATCAGACAGTTGGGGTGCCAGTTGTCAGTCAGTCAGTATTATTCTGTATTGGCAGACTGTAGTATCAGACAGTTGGGGTGTCAGAGGTCAGTCAGTATTATTCTGTATTGGCAGACTGTAGTATCAGACAGTTGGGGTGTCAGAGGTCAGTCAGTCAGTATTATTCTGTATTGGCAGAATGTAGTATCAGACAGTTGGGGTGCCAGTTGTCAGTCAGTCAGTATTATTCTGTATTGGCAGACTGTAGTATCAGACAGTTGGGGTGTCAGAGGTCAGTCAGTCAGTATTATTCTGTATTGGCAGACTGTAGTATCAGACAGTTGGGGTGCCAGATGTCAGTCAGTCAGTATTGTTCTGTATTGGCAGACTGTAGTATCAGACAGTTGGGGTGCCAGAGGTCAGTCAGTCAGTATTATTCTGTATTAGCAGACTGTAGTATCAGACAGTTGGGGTGCCAGAGGTCAGTCAGTCAGTATTATTCTGTATTGGCAGACTGTAGTATCAGACAGTTGGGGTGCCAGATGTCAGTCAGTCAGTATTGTTCTGTATTGGCAGACTGTAGTATCAGACAGTTGGGGTGCCAGATGTCAGTCAGTCAGTATTATTCTGTATTAGCAGACTGTAGTATCAGACAGTTGGGGTGCCAGATGTCAGTCAGTCAGTATTATTCTGTATTGGCAGACTGTAGTATCAGACAGTTGGGGTGCCAGATGTCAGTCAGTCAGTAATGTTCTGTATTGGCAGACTGTAGTATCAGACAGTTGGGGTGCCAGATGTCAGTCAGTCAGTCAGTATTATTCTGTATTGGCAGACTGTGGTATCAGACAGTTGGGGTGCCAGATGTCAGTCAGTCAGTCAGTATTATTCTGTATTGGCAGACTGTAGTATCAGACAGTTGGGGTGCCAGATGTCAGTCAGTATTGTTCTGTATTGGCAGACTGTGGTATCAGAGTGGCGGAGGGCTGTGGCCCAGGCCCGGTGTGGCGGGAAGGTGTTAGTTTTGCCCCTCGGTGTTGTGGATCCCAGGCCCGGCCGGTGAGCCCTATCCCATGGGGCCCTATCACCCCAGCCCGGCTCCTGGGGGCCCCTAGCTCAGCTCCTGGGGGCCCAGCTGCTCACACATCCCCAGCAACAGGCGGCTGCCCGGGCCCTGGGGCCTACACACGCACTGCCAATGGCGGGAGCCGGCATCTCCCCTCACAGCATCACTGGGCCGCTCTCCGAGACCGAGACCCAGCCCGGACCCACTCACACTCACACTCACACTCCGGCCATTAACTGCTGCTCTCTCTCCCCCCCCCCGCGGCCCGCCCGCCATGCTGCTCCCCCAGGCCGGCTCTCTCTCTCTCTGCCAAGGATACTTGCTGCACGGATCGCTGCGTGCTGGTGTCCGGGGACTGGGACTCTTTGAGCAGCTGCAGAATCTGCGCGAGGCCCTGCTCGTCCGGCTTCCACTCGTACTCCATGCTGTGAGTGAGTGAGTGCGCGAGGCGGCGCGGGGACACTCACACGGCGCGAGGACAGCGGGGGGAGCGGCCTGACTGGGAGGAGGGGGGGAGAAAAGAGCGCCGCGCGGTCCTAGAGTCCGCCCGACACACTGACAGGAGGCGGAGTCTGGCTCCAACTGCCGCGCCCACGGGAAACACACAGCCGCCTGGGTCATAGAGTCCGCCGGCTGGAGACAGACCGCCGCCAGGGCCATAGAGTCTGTCACACTGCAACGAAGGTCATAGAGTCTCCCAGTTGGAGACAGACCGCCCAGAGGGTCATAGAGTCTGAGAACCTGAGACAAACTGCTGCGAGGGTCATAGAGTGTTCTAACTGGAGACAAACCGCCGCCAGGGTCATAGAGTCTTCCAACTGGAGACAAACCGCCGCCGAGTCATAGAGTCTGCCATTGGGATACAACCCTCTGCATGGGTCATACATACCTCCCAAGTGTCCCTATTTAGAAGGGACAGTCTTTGTTTTGTTCCCAAGTACCTCTTTCCCATCCTAATGCCCCTGCTTTCTAGGAGCTTCATATTGTTGGTGTTTCTGAGTGTATAACAGAGCTCTGTCTTTAAACTACAATAAATGTATTTATAAACCAGGCTGTGTAAATAAGATACAGGGTGCTTTTTTCTAAAATTACATTGATACATAAATTGTTAAAGATTTCTCAGGACAGACCTGCCCCCTGGACACCACCCCCCTCCCCCTCGTACCTCTAAAAATAAAGTCTATCTCTGTGTATTTGAAATGTTGGGAGATGTGGTCAGAGTCTCTCATCGGAAGACAAAATGTTGCAAGGTTCAAGAAGAACGTCAATGGGAGACAACCCTCGGAAAGGGTCATAGAGCCTATCAAGAGAGACAAACTGTTGCAAGGGTCATACTGTTACATGGCTCATATAGTCTGTCAACTGGAGACAAACCGCCACAAGGGTCAAAACATCTGTCAATTGTTTACAAATAGCCATTAGGGTCTTTGAGTGTTTCATGTAGAGGTAGCCTCAAGGGTCATATTGTCATTCAAATGAAGATTGTAGTAGATTATTTTCTGCAAACCAATTAGTTTGAATGACTATCTGTTCCTGTCCAAATTAAAGATAATAAAGTTTGCGTGCACGCAGAAGTAAATTCACACTGAGACACAAGGTTCAGGTTAATGAAAGAACTTCGGAGAAGTTTAATGGCTTCTAGCAGAAAATGGGTGCGCAGACCCTTATAAAGGCATTTTTACATCACTGAAGAATTCAAGATAACAGCAAATAAACACTATTGATTGGTCCAGGTGTTAAGTGGTTAGTTAGATGCCCTCCCATCCAGAGGTGATGTCATCCTTGACACGGGAGTGGACACAAGATGTAGGCGCCATCTTATTAGCATGAGGTGTTCACTCGATGGGAGGGGTGCTTTGGCAGCCATTTTGAGTAGTTAGTATTGTTAGCTTCAAGGTTCTTTTAGTAAATACACATTTTATTATTCAGCACATTTCTTCCTGCCAAAGCATTAGCTTAGATAATTTCAAGAATTCTATAATTCTACAACAGTCCCCCCTTAAAATGTTAGTTACTAAAAGATAAACTTTATTTGTTAATACCAGAAGACTTGTTAGCCCAAAGACACAGAAACCCCATGGTCGCTAGCTTGGTGTTAGTGCAAAGTGCATGTCTACCCCTATCTGACCCTAACAGGCTGCAGCTCATCTGTCTTAAAAAGCATCGAACACTTCACTCCGTGGGTAACCCGCAGCGGCTAGTCCACCACATCTACGCACGTGAGACTCGCCTGTAGAGACAGATGCTGTCCCTGCGCTGGTTCCCTTCCTAGAACATCTGCACTTTATCAGTATAAGGGAGAGTTTGTAGCGGAATACAGGGTGAGGTGAGATCTTGATCATCGATTGTCAGATGAGTGAGAGTTAGTGTCGCTTGGTCTGTAGTCTTCTGTAAGAATTTTCTAAGGCATGGGAGGACACAACAAACGAGAAGAGCGAGAACAAAAAGGAAAATTAGTAGAGCCATACCAATATGGACTAAAGCTTTCTGCCAACCTGACATCCAACCAAACCACCTTTCCCAGGGATCTGTTACCCCAGAATTCCTTTTCAACTCTTCTGAGAGTTTCTCTAACTTCGCTATGGCCATAGTGACTTTACCATTTGGACCTGTGTTTTCTGGGATATAAGTGCAACAAGTCATGGTGTCAGGTAGTATTTTACATACACCCCCTTTTCAGCTAGGATCATGTCTAAGGCCATTCTGTTCTGGAAGGTCATCTGGGATGTGGCCTGCAACTGCTCGGCCAGGCCCTGGAGGGCATCCCTGGTGTAGTTGACAAAACGCTGTTGGTTGTAATAAATGTAGTTAATCCAATTAAGGTTTTTGTTGGCAGTGACTATGGTAAAAAGTGATTCAAAACCTACAGCTACTTCATCTCTAGCTTTAAATTCATTAGGCACCCCCCTAGGTACCCCAACGGCATCTATGTAAATGTGGGGGTCAAAACTGCCTTTTACTGGGGTTTCGCGCCTCACTCTGGCTGGTGTATGTGGAGGGTCGTATATATCATGATGATTATCAGAAATAATATGAATGGGCATGATAACTTTGGCTAGGGTACACTCACCCCACCACTCAGTTTCCAGCCTAGATCTTAACTGTAGATCCCCACATAACCAGTAAATATCCCCCAGTGACCTGGTATGGTGTTGCAACAGGCGTATAGGAACAGTTCTGTAGGTGGCACAATAGCCATTGGAAAAGTTACCCATGAATTTACCAATCCCGTCATAAATAGCATAACAAGTGTAATTACCCTTGTAAATCGTGATTCCATCTGGGGGTTTGACATTTCCAATTAAGAGGGGGTACTCTGAGGTCCATGCTTCGCAGAGGAATCTGTTGAAATTATAGCGGTAGGCAAAAAGACTGAGGAAGCAATTCTCTATCTCCAAAGGGAGAGTTAGAGGAACGGTGCCAAGATGAGGTCGAGCACCACCGCACACATAGCATGCGGTTTTGTTATGTTTATTAGCATTATATTTCATCCACTCTAACCATAGATTGATATCATTGTAACCAGTTTCAGTGGCCATGGTGTCTTCGAAGGTGGGGTTAGCAATGGCCATCATGTCCTTAAAAGACTGGATATGTGGTTTTAGTGGATTCGGGACCATATGAACAGCCCCTTGCCACTCTGGAGAGTGGCACATATCTTTAAGATAGAAATGACCTAATTTGTTATAGGAACCACTTTTCCAATATATTCCCATTACATATTGGTCAGCATCCTTTGGACCAGGGTGCTCAATGTTTAACATTAATTTCATGGGCAGACCTCCTCCTGGCTTTCTTAAAGTCATTCTTTGAAGGAGGGATCTACCATGGTCATCTACTTTAGATAAGGCACTTTTGGGCTTGTAACCCCAGGCAGGCCCAGTATTCCATCCTGCAGCCCCCCAATGGTCACAGTTGTGTCCCCATTGCTCGTCAACTACACAAACATAGGGGTCCTTTGCATGTGGTATATCTTTGTAAATGGTTTGAATCTGTGACTTGGGAAATGGACAATCTACTATGTCACAGTAATCAAAGGTGGCTATTTTGACGTCATTTTGCTTTATCTTTATAGTGCCATAATTTAAAATTTCAAAGGGTTTCTTAAATTTTGTCCAGACTTAGCGTCTGCAATTCCTGAGTTTTTCTGATATGGCAGATCATGAACTAAGTTTACCCTTTTCCATACAATGGTACCTTATATGTATAGACAGTTAAATTTAATTATTTAATCTTCTCTGTCACAATTGTCTGGGTTTAGATTTGATTATATTCTTCTTATCACTTGTTTATACTATGCTATGCATTCCTTAGCTCTGGCAAAGTGGCTAGTCTTACAGAAAGAAATCTTGTGTCTTTTTGTTAACTTGAAAATAACAAAATGGAGTCTGGTCTGTTCAGAGTGACTCAGGATATACACTTTTAGTTTCTATCATAGCACAAGATGTCTGCCGATATAAATACTCTGACATAACCCCCCTTTAGTGCATTTCATAGCCAAAATTAATTTAGCTTATGAATAAGCACTATAGAAGTTACCAGACATATTGTGTAATCACATCATTTCTAACATAGGCCCGTGCGTGGAATGAACTTTTTTGTATATATTTGTACCTGTAAAAGTTTTGAACTTTACACTTAGTACAATCAACCATAATATCATTATTAACATAATACATTATTTTCATTTGAAAAATGTCTTTGGGGTTTACATATGGTATGGTCAATAAAAAGCAAATCTCCATACGTTCCGGATCAATTAAGAGAGGTATAGCGCTCCCCATCTCAAAGGCCAGATTTAATTGCATAGGCTCAATTGTCTCTCCATCCACCTTGGCAAGCATCGCATGAACAATATCCTTGGATACAAAATACAGAGGTATGCGTCCCCCTGCCAATTCGATCATTCCAGTTTGCACTTCGTCAAGAAAAGCAAGTGTGTGGAACAATATTGGGTCATGCAGAAATAGAAGTTCACTCTTAAATAAGTCATGACTTTGGTGCAACTCAGTGGATTTGGTAATTAACTCCGAATGCAATTTGTTGTAACAACTGTGTCTTCCACAATAGTTAACACGTCTTGGAGAAGTGTTCTTTGCTGTTGTATCACCTGATGAATATCGTTAATGTGTTGCTTTAGCGTATAGATTTCCATATCCAGCTTTTGGACAGTAATAGAGTTGGCTGCAGACATTAGAGTTGCGACAACTGCACCGACAGTGGCACAAACTAATGCAACAATGATAGCGGTGAGGAACCTTTTGGGTCGGTTGCTCATCGGAATAGAACTGGATACAAATGGTTTCCGGGCTTGCTCCAAGATGTTTCGCACACGGTCCTGTGCTCTTTGGAGGTGCATCTGGTACCAAGTCTGTAACTCAGGAAGCTGCATCGATGAAATGTTGTATGCCTTCTCGATGGAAATCTTGGGGTCCAAGCTGACGAACACACGTCGGGTCAGGATCCTCTTCTCTGTCAAGATGAACCCTGGTGTCTCTTGAATCAGGATGCCGGAGGATGGTCCCATCTCTGCGATCGGGTCGGTCCGTAGCTCTTGGCACAGGAGCAGTACGATCCAGAAACACGCCACATCCTTCTTGGACATCTTTCGACAGTCACGGAACAGGAACTCGTTCAGACTTATCTACTAATGATTCAAGGTTTGTTAAGCATACAAACTTATAACAGTGTGATATCACTTGGCCTAGGACAACACATTTTTACGATTCATCAACATATGTATTCTGTCTAATTCTATTTTTATAACTTCATCCCTCACTACATTTATTACTGACTCCTCAGTAATTCGCCTGTAGCAGTTAAACAAGCTAGTAACCTGCTTAAAAATGTAGTTATTGGATGGCAAGGAAATGGTTAATGACATGAACGTACATGAGATCATGGCACATCACAACAATTCACATCATACGATACCACGTGAATCAAGCATTCATCCAGGTTAGTCGTTCACCCTTCTGCATCCGAATCCACACCTATAATCCTTAATTGAGATTTAGGATGACAAGCACGCAACTGGTTAATGTGAACCCACTTTTCAATAAAATCACCATCCTTAGGAATTTTTATCTTGTACGCTACTGGGGAAATTTTGTCAATGATGACATATGGCCCTTTCCAAGAAGGTAAAAATTTATTTTCCTTGACTTGATTTCGCGCAAAGTTATACAGATAGACTTGATCTGTTATCTCATATTCCTTTTTCGTGGTTTTTAAATCGTAATAGGTCTTAACCCCTGTCGCTGCTTTTTCTAGATTCTTTTGGGCAAAAGCAAACGCATGCTGTAAATGCTTGCGCAAATCTTCGATATACTGATGCGTAGTGGCAGCATTGATCAAGTTATGATCCGAAGTACGATATAGTAAATGCTGTGGTAAAACCATCTTTCTTCCTGTCATCAATTCAAAAGGTGACAATTTGGTAGCAGTGCTAGGTGTAGCTCTAATCGCCATTAAAACTAGGGGCAATTTAATGTCCCAGTCTTTACCAGACTCCTTAACATACTTCTTCAGAATATTAACGATAGACTGGTTATATCGCTCTACCCCCCCCGCAAGACGCAGCGCGGTATGCAATATTTAGCTTTCGTTTAACCCCTAGAATGTTCCACATCTTAGCCATTACTTCACTGGTAAAATGACTACCTCTGTCTGACTCAATTCTTTGAGGCAGACCGAACCTGGAAAAGACATGGTTAATCAACAAAGTGGCGCACACGGTACTCGTATTCTCTTTACAAGGCAAACATTCTATCCACTTTGTGTACATACATGTAACGGTTAACATGTATTTGTTACCTCTTGAAGATCTTGTTACAGGACCTATAAAGTCAATTTGAATATCAGACCAGGGTAATGACACCCCCCTCTTCTGAAGTGGTGCACGATGGGTTGGACCATGGGGTTGATATTGCGGACAAATCAAGCATCCCTGACAGTATGTCTTAACATCCCTTAACATGTGTGGCCAATATGCATAATCACGCAATATCTCATATGTGATCTTATCACCACGATGCCCAGATGTAGGTGCATCATGTGCGTGTTGGAGCATTAACCCTCTGTATACAGTTGGGACTACCCATTGTTGTATACCATGTTTAGAAGTTCTGACCAGTAACCCATCCATGATACTAAATTGGACTTTATATCTCATCAAGATTCGTAAATCTTCATTATCTTTGCAATCCTCATCTGTGATGGGATTGGCAGTAGGGTCTTCTATATGTTTATAGAATATGCCTATGACGGGATCATTCTTTTGACTAGTAATCAGGTCCTCACTAGGAGCTTCTTGACTCCATTGCACGACATTTAAGTCGGCATTATCTCTAGCCTGTCGTCTAGTTATGGCTTCAACATGAATTGAACCCATAAGATCATCAATGTTTAGGGTTTCACCATTGATGGCAGCTTGTTTTGCCAGTGAATCGGCTAAGTCATTACCATCCTTGTCAATACCTTCTATTTTAGAATGGCCTTTGGTTTTCTTCCAATATATGGTTAAACCATTTTCCTTAACCAGTTCATCAATTTTACAAAACAATTTCCCATGTTTAACAGGTTTGTTATTGCTTTTCAGCATTTGGTTACGTTTCCAGCTAGGCAGATATTCGACGAAACTGTTGCGAACATAGTTGGAATCAGTTATAATAACAAATTCTTTGATACCATATTCTATTGCCATTTGAATGGTCTTATATACTGCACAGAGTTCGGCTATCTGACTGCTTTTGGGACCAATATTGTATCCTATAGATACATTGGGATAATCACCTGTCCAGGCGATTCCGATACCTGCAACTAACTTCCGTTCAGCACCAATGACGTGGTGATATGAACAACCATCAATGTATACCCACGGTAGTGGTCGACAGTATTCCTCGTCATAAACTTTATAAGGAGATAGCAATTGCTCTTCTAGGAAGTCATCTCCGGTGTCATTATCATCCAGAGATGGAGCAGTACAGTCATGTAATTCTGCTAAACCTTGGGCAACTGGGCTTCTCTTATTATGTTTATAACGGACTTCTAACGGCCATCCCTGTAAGGATAGAGTCCATGCAGTAATCCGACTGTTAGAGAGATTACCGTCTCTAATTCTTTCACTCTGCAGATACTGTAGAGGTTGGTGAGCTGTTTCTACAATTATTTTCTCACCTTGGATATAGCTACGAAAATTTTGTAGTGCCCAGACAGTCGACAATAACGCCTTCTCACACGTGTTGAATTTAACTTCAACAGGTGACAAAGTCTTGCTAGCATATGCAATAACTTTGTTTAAACTGTCCTGCTTCTGATACAGAACAGCACTTATGCTTAAATCGGTATATCCTGTCTCCAGATAGAAGGGTTTACCCCCCTCTGGGTATGCTAAACAGGGTGCCTGAGTGAGCTTCCTCCTCAGTTCACTTACCGCTTGGTCCTGAGGCTCCCCCCAGTTCCAGGTAGTTTCCTTTTTAAGCAGGTGTAAGAGTGGTTTAGTTATTTCTGCATAGTTATCTATAAACTTACGGGAGTAGTTAGTCATACCAAGGAACGATCTTAATTCCCTGATGTTTGAAGGTGTTTTAGCCTTAAGTACGGCTTCAACCTTCTTCCTCTGGGGATTTAATCCTTCAGAAGTTACCTCATGTCCGAGGAAATTGACATGGGTGCGACACCATTGTGCCTTTTGTAAAGACAGTTTAATCCCTGCTTCTCTTAACTGAGTGAGAACATGTCTAATCTCCAAGATATGCTTATCAAAGGAAGTGCTTTTCAGCAAGACATCGTCGACATATGATAACGTTCCTCTCTCGAGTGCGTCAGGCATAGCTTTATGCATGAACACAGCGAATTCATGACCAGAGTTTATGTAACCGAAAGGCATACGGGTCCAGGTATACTGCTGCTTTCCAAATGTGAAGGCAAATTTGTATTGGTCTTCATTATGGACTGGTACAGTCCAATATCCCTGCGCACAGTCAATGGCAGTGAATATTTTGGATCCCTGCATTTGTACCAAACATTGGTCTATGTATGGCGTTGGCCAACCAGACATATAGACGCGTTTATTTAGCTGTCGTAAGTCAGCGCATAAACGCCATTGTCCATTAGGTTTCAGAATCCCCAAGATCGGATTATTATACGAACTGTGCACTGGACGTATAATGCCCCTTTCCTTTAAATTCTGAATGATGTCTTGTAGACCATCATATGACGCTAATGGGAGTCTATACTGTTTGATAAATACAGGTGGTAAATTTGGATCAGTTTGTATTCTGGCTACGTGGAGGTTAGTTAACCCACAGTCGTAGGAATCTTTGGCAAAAATATCTTGGAATTCCAAAAGGATTTCCTTTAGCTGCTGCCGCTCAGCATCATTGGAGCAACCGTCAGCTAAAGATATTTGCTCTTCTAGCCTTTCCTGAAATCCTGGAAAGATTTCAGGCTGGCCTATCTCATAAGCTTCTTCAAGCCTAGAAGTTAGGTCAGTTCGGTGTTGACTTACCTTTTCTCTTTGGTCGAGATACTCTTGTGATTCCTGCTCATTGAGCGGATGATCGAAGGTGATAGATGCTTCTTCGATTTTACACGAGCCTTCTTCGACGTTGAAGGGATACACAGATAGGATAGTGAATAATCCTTCTTGGGAGGAATGGAATATTTGATCGACAATTTCGTCCTCAGTTAAGTATTCTTCAGGGATGAGGCCTATAATTTGGTGTTGGAAACCAAATGTATAGTACTCAGCATCCAATGCTAGACCTAATGATGTTCCTTTTTGTAAAGTAACACTATTGGGTGTAACATTGTTGACCATGATATAGGTGGGATTCTTACCAATACTTACCATTGGTGTATGTGTTACCACCATCCCTAATTGTTGTATCCTGTTGGATAAACAGATTAGGGCATCAGAGTTTTCCAATCTCTGACCCTCCTTGACCTGTAGGGGTAAAAGAAAGTTACTTGTCCCCTGTGGAATGGTTATGTCATCAGGAACTTGGATACTTACCGCATATGGGAGTATTTGTCCTGATTTTAGGGCGTTTTCCTCGTGTAGGTATCCACAAGGATTACCTTTTAACCTTATCCACAAGTTGGAATTAATCAGGTCAAGGTGTATGGCAAAGTGATGTATGACATCATTGCCAACGTAAACCTGATAGCGAGGTTCGTCTATCACTAGGAATAAATGTTTAACGGTCTTATTTCCGATGGAAATAGATAGTAAACATTTTGCTATCACATTGTGACTCTCTGATTCGCCATCCAGATTCTGGATCCACCTGTCATGTGGGGAAGCGTACCTGATCATTTTAGGATTAGCGATCTGCTTTAACAGACTTCTGCTAATATAGCTGTTCTCACTCTTTAAGTCCAGCTTTGCATTCCTACTTCTTCCTAAGTCATTTATTTGAATAGGAAAGAATAAGTTGTTATTAACCCTTTCAATTCTGGCAAGGAATTGAGCATGACCTGCCAGATCTACAGATTCAACATAGTCCCTGTGGAGAGAAATGGTTAAAACATCACCTTCCAGAGAGACATTCTGGATCCTCTCTGGAGCAATTCTTACGGAATGCTCATCTACAGGTGTGA